ACCCATCGCCTGTGTAACCGGGGTTATGGTCCAAATTCCAGGTGGAGGCTTCAGAAGAGCCCATGAAAACACCCTAGAAAGTCAGCCTGAGACAATACACCGCCCCGGTGAGAGGAGAGTAAGCCAAACTGCAGCTTCCAGCCACACTGCACAGGCACACACAGACGCGCACACAACAGATACAGACTCAGAGGAGGTTCGGAAATCTCCATGCTCTGCTGGTGGAGGAGAGATTTTAACTCTTAACTCAAGTTGGGAGTTTTGATTAGTACATTTTTACCTCTTGAGTGGAGACTGGGTTTTCAATGAAAACTGAGCATTGTAGAATGTGTAATCACCTAAAAGCGATCAGAATAGTTGAGAGATTACCTGAGTTCTCACCTTTAGGATAAGGGAAGGAATTTCCCAGTTGAGCAGGCTTGGAAGGCGCAGTGAGAGGCAAATACAGTTAGGTCCTGCTGTTCATGGGAGCATTGTTCTTAAGAGCTAGAAATTATTTTTAGCTACGAATCTGTTTACTAAATTACTGTGAGATTAGAAATATTTGCTATGCTAAAATACCTTATATAAATTATGATGCATAATAAAATGCCCATGAGCCTACCACCTGCCTGAATAACTAGAATGGTGTCACTATTTTTGACAAGACTTTTGAAGCTAACAGTTTCTCTTCCCCAATCCCGTCTGACTAAAAAAGTAACCACTATTTTGAGTTTTAAAAGAATCCATCTGTTTATCATCTATCTAATCTTAAAACTATGTGGGTCCAAATATGTCCCCAAATATGTTAACCTTGGCTTGTTTTTGAACTTTATAGTGATGGTATCATATAATGTATTCTCCTGTAGTTTGCTTTTTTTCTACTCAACATTGTTTGTAAGAAAGATTCATCAAGGTTGCTGTTCCTTAATTTTCTCCTCTGTCTAGAATTGTTTAGTATGATATACCACTTGTCATTTATCAATTCTCTTGTCAAAGGACATTTGGGTTGTCTCCAGTTCTTTGCTATTATGAAGATGTTGCGAACCTTCCTGGGAGGATAACTGGGGTGCACTGTTTTTCAGAATGCATGCTTAGAATTGCTGAATTATAGAGTGAATGCAAACTTCCCCAAGTGGAGTGTGAATTCCATTTGATCCACATAATTGTCAACAGTTAGAGTGTCAGGCTTAAAAATTTTTGCCAATCCAGTGAGTGTAGAAAGGTATTTTTATTCTACTCATTATTAGGGTGGGAACTCATGGCTCAGGCTGAGAACGAATTCTCAACACAAAGATTAGAAAAGTTTTTAAGAAAAAGTTTATTTTACTTCCCAAGGGAAGGGCATGACACGAAAGAAAGAAGTGTCGACGGGGAGGGTAAGGGGTTTGGGGTTTTTATGGGAAAAAAGAGAAAGAAAAATAAAGGAATAGTTATGGCTACTTCTGTTTTTCCTTGTTTTCCCTTTTCTCTGTGAGGCTGGTTTATCAATCTCCTTGGAATCTGATCTGGGGGATGTGGGAGGGATTTCACACCCCACTTTCTGCTTGGGAACTGTCAAGTGCTGTGAAAACAAAACTCTCAAATAAAACAATTTAAGCCTCAGGTGGTTAATCAAACAAAGGGGCAGTGACTTTCTCTTCAAAGGGGCAATTATGTGCTGTGAGCTTTCTCCTTCTTTCCCTCCTATTAGTTTATTATTAATAGCAAGGCCATCCTGTCACTCATAATGTGCATTTCCCTACTTAAAAATAAAGTCAAGCAACTTTTCCTGTTTATGGGCCATTTGAATTTGTTCTCTTTTTTTTTTTTTTTTAACTCACTCATTCACTCACTCACTGTCTCCTGCATTTGTTCTTCTGTGAAACTGCTTGCTCATGTATTTATTTAGCCCATTTCCTTATGGATTATTTTTGTAAAAAGTTGACTCACAGCAGTTCTTTATATATTCTGAACACAGATCCTTTGTTGGTTACATGTGCTGCAATTATCTTCTCCCAGTTTGTGCCTTGTCTTTCACTGTCTTTATGGTGTCTTTTTGATAAACAAAAATTTTACATATTATCAAACAAATTTATCAGTCTATTAGGGTTAGCACTTTGTTCCTTAAGACATTTTTTCTTAACCAAGTTCTTGGATATATTCTCCTATATTTTCTTCTAAAAGTTTTAATGTTTTTACTTTTCACATTTAAGCCTTTTCTTTTCAGTTTTTATTTCTATTAAAATTATATATGCACCTATTTTAAAGATTCAGAGTTCCACAGATGTGTTATGCCAAAGAGCAGCCCTCCCTGCACCTACTCTGCTGTCGGGCTCCAGCTTGTCCTGCGTAGCTGCGGCAGAGGCTGAGGACGAGTCTCCACCATGCACCCGCCCTCCCCAGCTTCCCAATTTGGGCTACATCCATATTCTGTGTTAATTTCAAGCTAAGCTTCACAGTAAAACTATGATGATTTATCTTTTCCTATAGGTTTTTGATTTGTATCCTTTTCCTTGGAATTGATAATTATCTTTTTGCTGTTGTTCAGTTTTCTATGTATCACTTATTCAACCCCAAACTCTTATCAGATGTCTAAACGTCTCCTTAGAATATTCAGATTCCTCAGGTACTCTTAACAATTAAATCTCCCTGGTCTTTTCCAGAGCTTCTGGTGTCTAATCTGGACTGATCACTTTTTGTGTGCCGTTCAACATTCTTATTACACCAACCAGGTGCTAAATATGATTGCTAGGTCCCAGAGAAACAAAGGGAACAAAAGGGTTGATTCTTGCCTTCCTGGAGCTTACTATCTAATGGGAGATTCACCCTAGCCCTGGGGTGGTGGTGGAGTTTCCTTACATCAGTATCCTCATTTTGAGGAGTTGCAGGGGGACAGAACTGTGGAGCTGAGCCAGGAGTGCCCCTGGAGGCCAACAGTGTTAGCTTTCATTTTAATACTATTCCGTTTTTCCCTGTGGCCATCTCCATCCCAGTTCATGAGTATTTAGTGAGAAACTGGGAAAAGGTTATACGCAAAGCTTCAGAGCTAGTGAACATTACAGGTCAAATCACCCAGCTCCCGAACAGGTCAAGACATAGATCACTCAACAGTTCAGCTTGGCCTGACTTTCTAACACTTGGCCAGAGCCATTTGGGACACACACGGTGCTTTATGATTGATAGTTAAAACATTCTGCCTTCTTCATTCCCTCCCTCACCCCTAACTGCATGTGGTGGTGGTTGCCGGTGGTCTTTGCTGGGGCTGGGCAGAAACAGAGGCTGTGCTCAGGGAAGAGGAGCGGCTGAGAAGGCTCGAGTCTAACCTCCAGGAGAAAAGAGGGCAGTGGCTTAAGAATCCCTCCATAGCTTGGAACCATGGGCAACGGTGCAATGGTGCAGCCTCAGTCTGGGCTTCTTGCGCCTGTGCAAGAACTAAAACCAAAATAAAATATGAGCCTCAAGGTCCTGCCAGAAATGGGGGGAAAGCAGGGTCCTGTGTGGTGGTGGTGGTGGTGTTGTGGCTGGTAGAGGGGGGAACAGAGCAGCTTAATGGCCACAGGAGGATGCAGCCTGATGGCAGGAGGTGGTGACTCTGTGGCTTCTGCCAGGTCCTCAGCCCCAACTGATTTGTACAGAGTGGGGAACCATCCTGAGCTCTGGCGCAGAACAGATTCTGGGATCCCATGTGCCAGGACTGCCTGCGGGGCTGATGCCTGGATTCTCCAGGCTACGCTCAGCCAAAGGTTCTCTTTGCTCAGGAGGGGCGGGAAGACAGCAGTTGTGAGATTCTCAGCAACCAGCCCCCTTCCTACACCCTTGTGTGCTTAGACTCTGCCCCCTCCAGTCCCCCCCCCCCGCCCCGCCCATGCCCGTGGCTGGTGGCCTTGGGGAACATTGCTATTATGTGAAAGCAAGCCTGTAGGTTTCCTGTTTAAGTGAACCCAGTGGAGATGCTACCAGGTCCCCAGTGCACCTGTAGTGCATTCCTGAGGTGTGTTCCGGCTGGGGCTGGGAGAGCTGGCTGCCGGCTGCAAACCGGGCTGCCCAGGCCCTGAACCTAAATGCTCTGGGAAGGTGTCTGGATGACACAGCCCCGGGCTAAAGAGAATCATACTCATTATCCCTAGACTCCACCCTGCCCTAGATTCCTTGCAGACCCAAGTTCTGAGACAACTATTACTTTCTGTTTCCATTCTGAATAACCTCCTACAAGATGTGTGAATAGTCACCACATTTTAGAGCTGAAAGGGGGCTTAGAGGTATCAACTCTCTCATTTGACAGGTAAACTGGCCTGCGGTGGTTAACTACCTTTCCCAGCAGGAAAGGGAAGAACTAGGAGCCGACCTCACACTGCGGGCTCTTTTCCAAGCGTCCTCTTCGCGATTGCTTCTGGGATCAGGAAGGAGCCTAAGTGGCACCATCTGAAAGCTCTGAACTGAGCTTGGGGCAGGGCCTGCTCTTAGATCCGGCCTCTCAGCTGGCGCCCACTGCTGGGGATTCACTGACCTTACAGTGATGTTGCTTAGCACCTTCCTCCCTCACTTTTGGCCTTTGCTGCTGTTCCAGGCCACAGGAAAAAAAATCTTGTTACATTTTGATCAAGGCTCTGGATTAAGTGCTTTATGTGTAATATCTCATTTATTAACTCATCTTTTTCAGAAGTTGTTCTCTACATTAAAAATGTTGGTTTCATGAGTGAAGATGCAGAGTCTGGCGAATCCATCCTGAAATCAAGAGGGTGGGTGGAGGAAGATCCACCAAGCAATGCTGGTGGCCTTTCTTCCCAGCCTGCAAGGCCAGTCCCTGGGGCTGCTGGAGTGAGGCTGAAAGGAGGCTCTGAACCCCAGGGGTTCCCTAACCAGACATCCTCTCCACAAAGCCCAGGCACGGCTCTCACCATGGCTGTGTTTCTAAAGAGAAAGGCCACATTTCATCCTAAGAGCCCATTTTGCTCCATTGATGGGTTTAGACACCTCAGGGGAGACAATACTCAGCTCCTGCCCCTCTCCAGATGGGAAAGAAATGCTTACCATGAGTCAATCAAAAGTTATTTATTTTCTAAAAGTATAAAAAACACATACAAAAGAAACTTGCTCTTGGCTAAATGAAGAGAAAATACCACTGTAACACATAGCAAGGCCACTATGGAGAAAGTATTGCTCCCAAACCATCAGTAATTTTAATCACCACTCTGACCCAGACTCCTTTAAAGTTACTATTTCTAAATTACACATGGACAAAGAGTAAGCTTTATTAAACCAGACTCATAGAAGTAAGAACTGTGCTTCTCCAGGTTCATAAAATAGAATTCCAAGGCTCTGAGGAAAATATTCTTATGTCAGTCCCAGGGAACTTTTCTCCCCAAGAGTTGATTGGTCACTTTCTGTGGAAGAAAAGAAAGGCAGGAAAGAAGTTAGCTGCTCCTGTCATCAGAGCAGACACCACTCCTCCCATGTAGCTAGGAGAACCCGTGCCACCCAGATCTTGTTTATTTTACTCAGCTACAGAAACTATGATAATTATACAAAAAATACATCCTGGAAGGTTTGGGAAAGATGATCTATAATCGATATCTATTATTTCTATGCAGATATAGATAATTTATAATCTTGACAGACTAATCAATCCCTCAGCTCACAAACACACAAGCACAGTGAGAGGCCTGGCCTTGGGACACTGACACACCAGGAGGCTGGGCAGTGCCAGGGCCTCCCCAGCTGAGGCAGCGGGCCCAGGTTCTGGGGTGTGCTCCAGAAAGTTCCCCAATCCCACATCAGTCTGGGATGAATTGGTCTTTTGGTTTCTGACTTTCAGAGTCCTCTGAGGTGTACTGAGGGGGTTGGAAAGGACACAAGAACAGTGAAGGATATGGCCCTTCAGGCACAGTAGTCATTCTGGTTTCTCGGGGAATTAACTGGAAGCAAGACCCCTGCTGCCTGAAGTTCTTGGACCTGCACCACCACTGACTTCACTGGGGACATAGGCAGGAAGTGGTGGCAGCTTGAAGGCCTCTGACCCCACCAACCTGACAACTCTTATGCCACACCCAGACATTTTCCAGCTTATTTGAACAGTTCTAGAGGTATCACCTGACTCATGAAGGGCATAAAATGATCATCTGGGACTCTGAAATGTAAATCTAACAAGTTTGATATTTTGGACATTTCCACCAAGATGTATATTGACTCTTGTGTGTGAAATTTGTTTCATTTTTTTCATTCCAAATGTAGTCATGGAAAGTGCCTTGCACAATCAAGGCTGAGGAGCTACAACTGATTTGAAATCTAAACACAGCCGCCGTAGAGCTTTCAAATTTCAGCACTAGTACAGTGCATTTGAGTTTAAGTTCACCCTCAAGCATGGTTAATTCTGAGTGAATGCTCAGACAGGTCAGTGTGTTTCTCTCCATTTCTTTCTCCTGATAAAACTGATCCACCCTGCTCTAGACAGAGGACTGACTGACCGTTTTATATAGCTGGGCTCGCAGTCGGTATGACTTATATTCTGATCTCCTCTTCTCTTCTTCTCTCCTTTTCCGTACTTCTGGGAGCTGCTCGTAAATCCTTAGAAATGGCACCAGTGGAAAGACAGAAAACGGGGAGGTTATCAGGGTGCAGAGGCACACGATCTCCTCTCCCCATCCCTGCCTAAGCTCTCCTGCTCTCCCTCCAGACAGGCCATTAGACACATGGACACAGAAACCCTGGTCTCGGCTCATAATCTGGAAGGGGAGACAGACAAAACAAAATCCTTCTCATAGTGGTTACTTCTGGAAAAGGAGTAGGATAATGAAGGCAGAGGCGAACTTCTGCTTTCCACTCTATGTGCAAACAGGTATTGTTTCAATATAAGATAACGAACAGATATTGCTATTATATTTTCAAACACAAGAACAATTTTTTGGGAAAGAACTAAAATGGGGTCATATATACAAAATGCTAAAGGAGAAGTTACAGCAGAAGAAAAAACATTCTAATGGATGGAGGTCAGGAAAGGCTTCAGAGAAGTGGTTAGGTGTGAGTTGGGTATTTAGATAAATTAGGAGCAGAGAGGGAATAGGAGGATGGGGAAAGGGAAAATGAGTTCAATTAGGGAAAATTAGTGTTGGTAATAATGGAGTCAAGGCTTTACAGAGAGGCATGTTGGGGAACAGGTGGGAAGGAGGTGGAGTGGGGGTGAGGTGGGCTGTGGAGGGTCTTGCAGCCACATGAAAAACTTGGGCTTTCTCCTATGAGGGGTTGGGCGTCACTGATTTTAAGTTGGGAGGTACACAATCAAATGTGCATTTGATAAATATACTTTAACTGGAAATAATCTACATTTCCAATAAAAGAACAGTTAAACAGATTACGGAATATAACAGAATTATAACAAAGCATAAGAAAAGATGTTTCATGAATTTTCAATGACATGGGAAAATTTTCACAATATAATGTTGAGTAAATAAGACACAAACCTGTATATGCAGTATGATTGACAATTTGGCAAAAATAAGCACATTTTATACAGGTCTCTACAAAACTCCCACACTTCCCACCAGAAACAGGACTAGTGTTAGGTATGTTTAGATGGAAGGATTATAAGCAATACTCATTTTCTTCTTTCTACTTTTCTCTATATTTTCTGAAGTTTTCTATAATCTGAAAAAAAAAATCATTGAAAATGATGCAGAGACTCTGTGGGAAATAGATCAGAGAAGGTAAAGGCATCCCTTGAAGGACACATGGGAATGAAATGCTTCCAAATAAAAGAGTTCTCTCTTTTCCAAATCTTTTCTTCTCACCAGAACTTTTAAACATCTTTGGTGTATGTAGGTGATGAAAAAAGATGATGAATAATGGAAGATCCAGAGACATGAATCCTCAATGAGACACAGTTAAAGGAGTTTTGGATGGAGAGCCCAAACACTGGGCTCTGACCATAAGTTGCTGGGTTTCTTCCCCTCTCTGGGTTGCAGTTACCTAAAAAATTAAGGGTGACTAGATGGTATTTAAGATCCCATTCAAGTCAATGATTCTCAGGTATAAGTGAATCACTTCCTTGAAAAGGGCCACACAAGAAGTAAAATTGAATAGAAGCACTCCAATGAAAATGTATCAGTTTAAAGCTCAAGTATCTCAGGGAAGATGGGTACTTAACCCACTTCTGTAAGTATATTTATGCTTGAAAGCACTGATATCTTACAGAAGATGCCCTGCCTGTCTTTCTGTAGGCAAGCTTCACGGTCCCTTATAGCAAGGACTCCTATTGCTGAGTGAGGTGAGACTGTAATTAGCTGCCACACAATGAACACTGAATAATTTCACCTAATTAAATTTTATGACATAGAATGAAGCAATGATTCTCAAATTTTTTGGACCCCTTCACACTCCTAAAAATTGAGGAACCCAATGTGGATTTTATTTATTGATACCATGTTAAAAATTAAAACTAAAAAATTTAAAAATACCTATTTTCAAATTCACTTAAAAATAAGCCTGTTAACATGCTAACATAGTATGTTAATATGCTAATATGCTAACATAGTATGTTAATATGCTAACATAGTAACCTATTTTTTAAATGAAAAATAAAGATGTTTCCCCAAACAAAAAAATTTTAGTGAGAAGAGTGGCACTGTTTTACATTTTTTGCAAAACTCTTTGATATCTGGTTTAATAGAAAATAGGTAGACTCTTATATTAATTTCTGCTTCTGTCTGTTGTCAGATTTTTTCTGGTTAAGGCATACATTAAAAAATCTGGCTGACAGCCCGATTTCATTATATGTAACACGAACTTAAATTTATAAAACTTCCCAGTATCATCTATATTTAAAATTTTTTACTTCGTTTTAAAAATTGCTCTTTTTACCCTTATAAAATTTCTTTTCTGGTTGGCATTTTAATGTTAAAGATTTTAATTCAAAGTATACGTCTTAACAAATTTTTATTTTATCTATTATTTTTTATTTTTAATTTTCCTGTATCCCTCTGGGAGTTAGACGTCTTACAATTCTTGAATGTTTTTGTGATTTTAATTTTCGTTAAGTCATTCCTCTTAATTCTTTTTGTTTTGGTGGAAAAATATGTAACTTATCATCTAACCATTTGTGTGAAATCTGTTTACATTTGGGTGTTTCCATGTTGTATACAAGTTCGGAAGCAGGGGGTCCTCATTTTAAAAAACAGGGGCCAGTTTCAAACTTTCCTCAGTACCGTTGGAGGCCGGAACTATAATTAAAAAAAAAAATTATGGAAAATTCCATTGCGCAAACACTGCACATCTTATTTGAAGTTAAAAAACAAAAAACGGGCAAAAAACCACCCCCCGCATGTGCCGGGAGGGGCCGTGTTTGAGGTGCCTGGTTTTCAGAGCATGTTCCACCAACTTGGGTAAACCGTCCTGCAAACCCTCCAGAAGCTTTCATCATGCAAAAAACAGAAGCTCTGCACCTGTTCACACACAACTTTGCCCCGCCCACTCCCCTCAGCCCCGGGCCAGCCCTGAAATTTCTACTATTCTGTCTCTATGATTGTCCCATGGTGTCTTATTATTAAAAGGGCTCATGCAGTATTTGTCCTTTTATGTTGGCTTATTTCTTCTTTCTATTGTTTTTTATCTGTTTATTTATTTATATTTTTCTTTTTTTGAGGAACAGAAGTTCTCGCTGTGTTGCCCAGGCTAAGAGTGGGATTGCCATGGATTCAGCCTAGCTCAACAAAAAACCTCAAACTCTTGGCTCAGGCAATTCCTAACTGCCTCAGCCTCCTGAGTAAGCTGGGGATACAGGCATTGTTGCCACCATGCCGGATTTTTTAAATATATTAGTGGCCAATTTTTTTTCTATTATAATAATTTAGAGAGGGGTTCTTCCATCTGCTCAGCTGGTTTCGAACTCCTGCCCTCTAAAGCAAATGCCTCCCGCCTTAGCCTCCCAGAAGTTGTACGAAATTTATTTTTATTTTTTTTTTTTTTTTTTTGAAGAGTCTCGCTTGTTGCCCAGGCTAGAGTTTGAGTGCGTGGCGTTCCAGCCTAGCTCACAGCAACTTCAAAATTCCTGGCTCAAGTAATTCCCTTTCTGCCCTCAAAGCCTCCCAAGTAAGCGGGGACTAAAGCATGAGCCCAACCATTTGCCGCTCATTTCTTCATTAATTATTGGCATTATTTCTTTCTGTATTTATAGTAGAGACGGGTTCTCGGCTCTTCTCAGGCTGGTTTTGAATCCTGACCTTGAAGCAATCGCCCGCCTCAGCCTCCCAGAGAGCTAGGATTACAGGCGTGAGCACCGCGGCCTGGCCTACATTCTTAAACTTCATTAGAACTTATCTCATATTAGTGTTTTTTGTTCTTGGCGTGCGGAAGGGGATCCAACCATATGAAAAAGTTTTGGACCTTCCCTTGCCTAGAGGGGGGCAGCTCCCTTGGAGTTTGTCCGGCTTGAAAGCTCTTCAGTGGGTTTTTCTTAGCCCATTCCAACTTGGCTTCCTTAAGAAATTCTCCTAGGATTGATTCAAGAGGGACATTAGATTGGAAAATCCTTTCCCAGGTGGCTGGGCACAATGTTCACACCAGTCAGGAGGTCATTGAGGCCAAAGAGTTAAGGACTAGGCCTATATAAACAATAGCAACCTCATCTCTAAAAATAATATTAATTAGTCATTTTGGTCTAGTGTGGGCAGGCAGATTCCAGTACCGTGTTTTCCCTGAAAATTTAAGGAAGGGTCTTATATTTATTTCCTCAAGATACAAAAACCTAAGGGTTGTAATTTTTCAGGGAGGTGTTAATTTTGTAGGTACGGACAAAACAATTCTAACATTATTCAGAATATAGTTAAGTTTCATCTTCTTCTGGAGCATCATTTTCATAACTCTCAAAAAAACCCCGAATTTCCATTCCTGGGAAAATTTCTTGCGAACTCTATTTCCTTTTAAGAACCATTGGCCCCATTTTCTCTTATTTGAGCATAGAAGCTCTCTGGAGAGAGAGTGTGCTTGGTTCTTCTTTACCGCGTCCAACAAACGAATCCAATGGGTTGTTGCAGATATGCTGCGTAAAAAGCCACGCATCAATGGTCTTATTTTCAGGTAGGGTTATATTGCCGCCAAATTGCTTTAGAAATCTGCTAGGTTATTTTATGGGGGTGAGGTTTTATTTTTTCGGGAAACATGGTATTGTTGGGAAGTGCTGGGCAAGGAAAGCATGCTGAAGCCCAGGAATAGAATCTGCCTTTTACTCCTTAAATTTTTTCTTTGAGAAGAACAGGTCCCAGCTATGGTTGCCCATTTGCGCTTGTGTTTTCTAATCAATGCTTCTCAAGGATTGCCTCCTTGCCTTGGACCTCAACGTGTGGGATTACAGGGTGCGCCACCACAACCTGGCGGCCTTGTTAATTGAAAAGATTGTCTTTTTTATGCTGTTTTATAATCGTTTTATGTTTTCCCTTGTCTCCTTGTTTTAAGTTTTGTCTAAAGGAAGGGCCAAGTTATTTGATATTTATTAACCCACTGTGGTTTAATTCCTGTGTTCGAAATGAATGTCTTGGATCAGTGTTTACTTTTATTTTTTTAAAATTTCTTTCCTT